ACCTGAAAATGAAACCAAGGAAGAAGGAAATAAGGATATGAGGGACCTGGTTACAGGTGAAATATCAAAGGACTGGAAATAAACAGATCTGGGTTCAGATCCTGGTTCCATCAATGAGTAGGAGAAAACAAGAACAAATAATTCAGTTGGGCTTTAGCTCCTCCATCTGTAAAGTGATCGGGCTGGTCTTCTGTCTGCTGCAGACACAGGCTAACCAATCACAACAATCTTATTTGTTGTACCCGAAACCTCAGATTCTTCTCAAAAAATAATTCCAGATAGCTCCTATCAATCAACTTGAGTAGACACAAGACAGGACATCTATTTGTTATCGCTAGACTACACAACTGTTATGAATCTCTCAATTTTTAACGTGTTGAATCAATGACTCTTTAAGTAAAATCACACTCCTAATCCCCTCCCCTCACTTAATGCTCTGAAATGGAAGCCGACACAATCATAGAACAATCACCCACAGACTGCCACCTTATGCCCTAGAGTTTAAGTATTAAGTGGAAGAGGAACTTCCCCTTTAAACCCACTGAATAAGCAATGAGGGATAACAACAAACTGTTTAAGGGACTCAGGCTGCAGACTTTGTTAGAAGTTTGTTGTGTTTTTTCTTTTGTTATACATATTTGTGGAGTACAGAGTTGACTATCAGCACTTGTGTACAATATGTAATGATCGAACCAGGATAATTAACATATTCATCATTACAAATAATCATTCTTTGTGCTTATTTAACCAGTTTCTCACTAACCCCTCCCACCTTTAATAACCACAGTTGTTTCCTACTTCTGATTGTGATTTTTGTTTCTCTCTGTTTTGCTGTGTTTTCTTTAAACTGCTTCCATGTAAGAGTGACCAGGAACCCAGTTAAACCCCCAGTCAATGAATGAAAATGATCTCATAGAAACTGCTGGCTTGAGTTCACACTGAGTTAAAAACCTAAAACAGATTGGATATGGGACCTGAAAGTAAGCAAGAAATGGATAAGAAATGAAAGAGAACACAACAGGGATCTATTCGGCTAAGGGACTTCCTGCATTCCATACCTCCATAGATAATGGGGTTAAAGTGTTATTCTCAGAGAAGAGGGTGAAGATCAGTTAAAAAGGAAAATAAAAGTGATTATTAATGTTATCTTAAATTATTTCCTCAAACAAAATGAAAAGGTGAATGAAAAGAACTCACTTCCGTGATTCACTTGACTATTCTGCTCATTACCTTCCACCATTTTCTCAGGCATACTTTCCTGTGGTGTTTTTTAATGCTCACTTTCTCCTCCTGCTGGGAAGTTGGGGTAGCCTCACGTGCACAGTTTGGCAAGCTCTCTCACAAAAGTCAATATCTTCACGGCCAGCAGGTGGTGCTCTTATTAAGCCCTTTTTGCAATACAAACTCAGCATTCTTTCCCCAATGTTATATACATCCTCTATATTTCCAGTATAGGATTAACTGGACTTGATTACGTGCGGTGATAAGGAAACAAAGCCCCTCCTGCTGGAATACTAATAGGTTATTACACCCTAATCCCATCACTTTCCGCAGCCAGGAACAGAGCTGGCTGTATACAGTTCCTCAACTTCTGTCTTATCTAGACACACTTAATGTGTGGTCAAGGTGGGAGACAAAACTCCATGATGAAGAATGGCAGTTGGTTGTCATCTTAACAAACTACACAAACTGGTTAGGAAACATTGGTAAAAATCTACTTTAAAAAAATGTGTTATATAGGCCAGACAACAGCTAAGTATCACATTCAAACAATTCTAAATGCAGAGGTGGGGGGACCCCCAACCATTTTTATATCAGGGTTTGGTATAAATGTAACCATCCACAGGAATTAAAGAATGAATCAAAGTCATATTTAACCTTGTTAAGAACAATAAAAAGTTGGAAATCCTGACACCTTTAAATACTTTCTAAAGAAGAGGTTGCAGGGCTGGCCCATGGCTCACTTGGGAGAGCGTGATGCTAACAACTCGAAGTCAAGGGTTAAGATCCCCTTACTGGTCATCTTTTTAAAAAAAGAAAAAAGAAAAAAAAAGAAAGAACAGGTTGCAGTAGAGCACGGTGTTGAAAACACCACTGTCAAGGGTTCAGAGGATCCCCATACTGGCCAGCTGCCAAAAAACACAAAAACAGCAACAACAAAAAACAAAACAAAAAAGAAGAGGTTGCAAAAGGGTGGCCCAGTGACCAAATCTGGTGCACAAATGTTTGACCTATACAGTATTATGCTGTGCTACTAGTCTTCAGTGTTACATGCTGCTACACAGATACATAGGGGATCCCAATAACTCAAAAGGGTGGTCAGGGCTATTCACACAGAACGTAATATCGGGCCGGCCTGTGGCTCACTCGGGAGAGTGCGGTGCTGATAACACCAAGGCCACAGGTTCAGGGTGGTCAGGGCTATTCACACAGAACGTAATATCGGGCCGGCCTGTGGCTCACTCGGGAGAGTGCGGTGCTGAAAACACCAAGGCCACAGGTTCGGATCCCATATAGGGATGGCCGGTTAGCTCACGGGTGGGCGTGGTGCTGACGGGCTATTCACACAGAACGTAATATCGGGCCGGCCTGTGGCTCACTCGGGAGAGTGCGGTGCTGATAACACCAAGGCCACAGGTTCGGATCCCATATAGGGATGGCCGGTTAGCTCACTGGGTGAGCGTGGTGCTGACAACACCAAGTCAAGGGTTAAGATCCCCTTACCGGTCATCTTTTAAAAAAAAAAAGAACGTAATATCAATGGTGCCCTCTGGAACTGGGCATCTCTGTGGCCCTGGAAATCTTCCAATTTACAAGTAGACTGAATTCTGAATGTGGCAGTTGTTCAGATCAAAGCAAAATTATCCCAATAGGAACAATATTAGATATGGTAATTAGGTCCCCAGGTCAACCTACTGAAGTCTAATCCATAAACAAATAGAATAGTTCATAGATCCTACATGGGGTGGGAAAATTTACATATTCTCATTTATAGTCTCATAAGGAGAATTTAATGACCAACTCTCTCATCCAAATCCCATGGCCAAGGCTAGAAGCTGTGTGTGAGAGACAGAGAAAGAGGAAGAGACAGACCAACAGTATTTAGAGGAAGGAAAATGTAAACAATAAAGACCAGAGAAAGGGGTGGTGTTTATCTTTCCTTCCTTTCCTCCTCGTTCCTACCTATAGTTGCTTGGAATGGGATGGCATCGGGATGTGTAAAGTATTGCAGCAGGGAAGCAGCCCAGAAAGTGCTCAGGAATGGGTACCACCTGGTAGAGATGTTGAGTGATGGAACAGGAGATGTCAGGCAGGTGATCTGCACATATCTGACTGGGGTGTTGGGGGAGACTATCTGCAACTGTACTTGGCAATGCTGTTGACAAAGGAATGATCGCCATGTTTATCAAATGATATCCAATGAGTACCACTACAGGTTTCAGGCTTCTTTCTTATGTTTCTTCAAATATGAGACCATAAAATTGAACACTGTAAATCCTGACAGAGTAACCCAGTAAATGTTCCCAAGTATTCCTGGTGGCTCTGTCTGCAACTAAAGTCCTGAAATGGATAGAAAACTGACTTTTCTTAACAGCCTATCTGGAAAGAAATATTGGAATATAGTGAAAGGAAGGACAGGCATCAGAAGCATTAAAACTCATTAGCCATTTAGCCTTCAACAAGCCACAACCTCACTATGCCTGTTCCTTGATTTGTAAAACTGATGTAACACTTTACAAGATATCCGAAAGAAGCAAAGATGAATATGAGAAAAGTGCTCTGTAAATGGTAAAATGACATACAAATAATAACTGAAGTTATATGGGCTATAACCCAATGGCAAGAGAAGGTAAAAGTCAATGACTGAAATCTGAAGCATAGAGGAAAATGTTTTAGTGTTTTCCACTCATTACACATTCTAAGATTTATTTACTGCTCCATCTCTCCTGATTAGTTTGCTATGCATGTGCTCAAAGTTTTCTAAATTTTTCTACTCTTAGTCATGTGGCAGCAGGAATATTACACCACATCCTTATCACAATCAAAGGGAGTTACGGTAATAAAACCTAAAAATCCTGGTAGCTACTGGATTTAGGTGGCCAAGAAAGAATTCAATCATTTGAAGAACAGATGCAGAACAAGGGATTACAGTCATCTAATATTTGATCAACTGTCAATTAGAAAGAGGCATTTCTCTAGGAAAACAGCAGGCCATGACTTTTGTGAATAAAGTTTTAATTGGAATGCCACACCCATTTATTTACATATTATCTATGGCTGCTTTTGTGCTGCAACAGCAGAGTTGAGCTGTTATGACATAAACTGACATCAATTAAATGGCCCACAAAGCCTAAAATATTCACCATTAGGCCCTTTAGAAAGTTTATATACCATTTTTGTTTTTTTCCTCATACCTCATACCATTAAGTAAGCCCTATATCCCATGTAATTCTTCCCATTCTTCAGACTCCTATTTTATTCTCCTTTCAAAAACTTGCACATTCTATGTGTGAGGTGTCACAAAGGACAGTATATGAAAAACATGAAAAAAA